CATGGGAATGATTTCTTCACTTTTCCTTGTTTGAGGCTTGCAAAGCACCTCTTCTGTTTATTCCACCTTTCAATCAGATTCACTGCAAAGCCATTAAAAGACTCAGCAAGATGAACAGGTTTTGTAGCAATTTTTCCAATTTCATTTTCAATTTTCCTTCGACAATTAAAGACATTTGCTTTTAGTCCATATATTTCTAATGCCCAAGGATGCTTTGGATCTGGCACAAAATGTACTTCGCAGTTATTTTCTTTTCCAAAGGTCTGAATGTCCAAATGTTTTTTACAAAAACTGTAAACATCTTCAGATGGAAATTGTATTAATTTTGGTATCATCAATGCTCCTTCCATGCTTCTTTTAACCTTTTCTTCAATATCTTTTGTTCCCACACAACAGGCTTTACCTTTTTCATCCAATACCATAGTAACTTTTCCTTCATTTTCTTTTACAATACTTGAAAATGATTTTTTCCCATCTTCAGTGCAAAAAATCTGACAAAGAGCAGCTTGAGAAGGAATGAAAAACAGCAATTTGCAAATATTGTTCTCAACATCTCCCAAATCAAGGTTGTTTTCCTCAAATATGAGCAATTCAGCTTTGTTCTCCCTCTCATGTTTCAAGAACTGTATGCTTTTTTTGTAATGCCATTTAATTTCATTCATGACATATGACTGAGCTTTCTCAGATCGCAGAAGGAAAGTATGGAATTCATTCTGCAATTTCAAATGTCTGAGACTTGCATGCATCTCTCCAAGTTTGCTTAGTACCTTTTCAGCACTTCCCTTGGTGTTTTCAGTAATATGAATATTACCTGGTTCAAGATTTATTTTTACATCAAATTGTATTTCAAGTTTTGTTTTCATCAGGTCTAAAATTTTACTTTCCAAAATATCAAATTTTCTTGGACCTGATACTGATTCATCAACATATGGGATGTTGCTTCTTATCTTCTGAAGTTCTGCTTTTATTAAAGGTTTACCTTGATCAAAGGCTGCCTTGTGGCCAACAAGCCAAACTCCATCTCTTCCACTTTCCTTTTCCGAAAATAGAGATGTACCTTTTATACATCTTCCTTCTCCATACATTTTCTGGCAGAATTCTTCTCCATCACTCATTGATAAATCCCAAAACTCATACTTTATATCAAATTTTTGGCTTGTTTCCTTTAAATAATGTTGCAAATGAATTATAATTGCATGTGTATCAGCTGCAAAAGCTGAAAACATGAATATAGGTGCCTTGTTTTCAAACAGATTTAAACTAGCCCCAATGGCACTAAGGGATTCCTTTAATGATACTAGACATATTCCATCATACAGACAGAAACACCACTGGAAATATTCATGAACTTCACAAGGTAAACTGAGTGAAATTGGTATTTGTACTCCAATTTGAACTGTTACCACCAATTGTTTTGGAACTGGAAAAAAGGGGGATACATGCATTTATCATATGACCTTCAATAATGTGAACAAACTAGATTTATTTAAATAAAGAGTGGGGTATACAATGTTTATTCTATCAATATTATTCATAAATATTAAAAGTTATCTGGTAATATAATAGCTTTATACAAATAAATCAGTATTGAAAATTAAGGTATCTACTGTAGAAGCACAAATTTTCGTGGGCATAAGATTTTGTTGTTTTGTCATCAAAAATAGTTTCCTGGGCATTTAATTTCGTTGTTTTGAAAGAAACCCTTTTCAATATATAGTCATAGAAAATTTTGTGTGGGATTAAATTTCGTTGAATATTGTTAACAACGAAATAAACGAAATTTAATCCCCCACGAATATTTCTGCTTCTACAGTATTTGTACACATCTATAATTATCTGCTGATTTCTTCATAGTATGCCTTAAATAGTGCTGCTTTGCTAGTTTAAAAAAAACCATTGGCTAAAATTTGCTAGTGGTAAAAAAAATTAATTTCGATCCCTGCTATATGTTAATGAGTAAAGAAGATCTAGATTTGGTGTTTTCAATATATGACCAATTAAGCCTCACACCTAAGATTGAACCATGTGTCTGAGGGCCATATATAAAATTTTTTACAGTTTTGTAAAAGGCTGACAATTTACATATAACCACAGAAATAGTTTACCTAAGGCCTAAAAAGAGATTGAGTTTTTCTGTAACATTCCCAATACCAGAAGTCTCTGTCGAGATTGTAGCTAGTAAACCTAGATTATCGATTGTGAAACTGTTATGCTCATTTTTGTAAATTTGGCCTGCCATAGTTTTTGGAGTAGCATTTAACAGAAATAATTGAAATCAAAAACTGATATATAGAATTATGTATTTTAGTGTAGTCTACTTGTGTGCCAAGTTATACTGAAATCAGACTAAATACACTGTAGAAAAGAAGCGTTTTAAAAATATTTCACGGAAATTTCTATTTTTAGTAACATGGAAACACTGTTCATCGAAATCAAAACATAGGTAATCAGAGATTACAGAGCTCACCTCAACGTGTGTTGTCTTTAAGTAAGGCAAATTAAGTCACACAATTAACCAACAAAAAGTGTACATCCAAAAATGCAAAATTTATGCAAATTTGATACTTTGGAATAGACCTATATAAAAACTAAAAACTAGTTCTTCATCATAAAAATGTAATTAAAATCCAGCATCTGAAGCAAGATTGAGAGTTTTCATCCCTTGATGCATCATTTGTGCAACTGGTTTATATAAGCCTAATAGTTTCTTGGTGATAGACTTGCACCCATAACTTTTACGAGGTCTATTATCTGGAAAATGTATGTCGAATTCAGCATCTGAAGCAAGTCCATTAGTGTGCATCCTAAGATGCATCATCCATGCAAGTTTGGTCAACATAGGGCTTAAAGTTACTTGCAAATGAAACCTGTATAAAAAAATTAACCTTTCCACTAATCCAGAAAATGAAGGTCAGATTCAGCATCCGAAGCCAGCCTAGTAGAATGCACCCTTAGATGTACCATCCATGCAAGTTTGGTCATTATAGAGCTCAAAGTTACTTGGAAATGAATCCTGTACCATAAACTTTAACCTGTTTACTCGTCCAGAAAATGTAGGTCAGATTCAGCATCCGAAGCAAGTCTGGTAGTATGCATCCTAAGATGTACCATCCATGCAATTTAGTCGTTATAGGGTTCATAGTACTGTACCTTGGAAACGAAACCTGCATCCAAAATTTTAACCTGTTCACTCAACCGGAAAATGTAGGTCAGATTCTGCATCCGAAGCAAGACTGGTAGTATGCATCCTAAGATGTACCATCCATGCAAGTTGGTCATTATATGTCTCATAGTAGCTTGGAAATGAAACCTGCACCAAAAACTTTAACCTGTTCACTCAACCGGAAAATGTAGGTCAGATTCAGCATCTGAAGCAAGTCTAGTAGATTACATCCTAAGATGTACCATCCATGCAAGTTTGGTCATTATAGGGCTCAACGTATCTTCAAAATGAAACCTTCACCAAAAACTTTAACCTGTTCACTCAACCGGAAAATGTAGGTCAGATTCAGCATCCGAAGCAAGGCTGGTAGTATGCATCCTAAGATGTATCATCCATGTAAGTATGGTCATTATATGTCTCATAGTAACTTGGAAATGAAATCTGCACCAAAAACTTAAACCTGTTCACTCAACCGGAAAATGTAGGTCAGATTCAGCATCCGAAGCAAGTCTAGTAGAATACATCCTAAGATGTACCATCCAGGCAAGTTTGGTCATTATAGGGCTCAAAGTATCTTCAAAATGAAACCATCACCAAAACTTTAACCTGTTCACTCAACCGGAAAATGTAGGTCAGATTCAGCATCTGAAGCAAGACTGGTAGTATGCATCCTAAGATGTATCATCCATGTAAGTTTGGTCAACATAGGGCTTATAGTTACTCTGAAATGAGACCTACACCAAAAACTGCACCAAAAATGTTAACCTGCACCAAAAACATTAACCTGGTCATTCCTTTGCTGAAATTGCAGCATCTGAAACTTTGACTGGTACAATGAAACACACTAGCAACATCTTCCATGCATGTCTAATCAATATAGGACATAGAAGTACTTAAAAAGAAAACTGCTCCAAAAAACTTAACCTTAACCCGGGACGCCGACGCCGAGGGTATCACATAAGCTCCCCCCAACTTCGTTGTGGTGAGCAAAAAATGATACTGAATCAGTTATTACTTCACAGTCTTTAATTGTATTATGTCCATGTTTTCCTTCAATTCAAATCTACAGAAATTAGTAATTGTCTTATTGTATTTATGGTGAGTATAGTTCACATAATTATATACCATAATTTACGAAAAATAGGTCGATACTTTTTTCTCAGAACCCCTGGGGTCGCCAATATACAGAATTAGACCTTTCTAAGGCTCAAGTTTACGAAAAATGCCCCTAATCAGTAAAATTTGCGTTAATTTCAAATCAAATCTGTGCCACTTTCGTAACTTTTCATTATTTTACACAAAAAAATTAATGCCCCCATTAATAATAAAGAATAAAATATTTATTCCATTGCTTTCTTACAAAATAAATTTCATTAACTATCCGTTGATGACAAAAGAAAAAAAAATTGCTTCATCTAGTAAATAAATCAACGTAATATCCATTAACATCATGCAGTGTCCATCTTGTGAAGTTGGGAAGTCGCGATCGTGTACTTAAAATAAAATCACAACCATGTCAAAATTTAAAATAGGGAAAAGTTTTCACAATCACAACTGTAGTTTCTATTACTATTTATTATTTGAAGAAGTATACTGTATACTGGGTTATTTTGGCCCTGTGTTATTTTCGCCCTCTAACACTTAAAAATAATTTTGTCACATTTTAAATTCGCCCAGTCAGGGTTTTGTTTAAGAAAATGTACTGTATTCTTTGAATTCCCCCTGTTTTAAATTTGCCCAAAAGAGGATAGGGCGAAAGGGTCGAAATTAAAACAGGGGTGAAATTTTCCCTGTATACAGTACTTAAATATTTTATTTTCATTGTCTTATATTTATTTAAATGTAAAATGCATTAAATAAATTGTTTCCAATAAATTTCTAAATTTAATTACATTTGATCAGGAACCTATAAACTAATTAAGTCATTTAGTTGTTTATATGACTCCCTGTCACTTTTTTTCTACATAGCTTATCGTTAAAGCATGTAAAACCCAACATAAGACAAGAGATGTTTGTAAAACACTTATGCCCCCCTCCCCCACAGTTAGAATTTTTCAAAGTGCAAAAGGGCATAGCTCTGTCAACCAGAAGTCTCTGACGAGACTGAAGCTCTACTGGTTTGTACTTATATCAAAGGAAGAGGAAAGAACTTAAGCAGTTGGGAATTGAAACTTTACAACAGCAATTAATAGAATAATGATCCTTGAATAATTCTATTTATGTTCTTAGTGTAGTCTACTTGCATGCCACATTATATTATAATCAGACTAAAACTGTATTTGAAGTAGCTTTTTGAGAGTAACAGAAATTGCTATTTTTATTAACCAAGGAAATGATGTTCACTAAAGTCAAAAACGGATATAAAGAATTATGTACCTTAGTATAGTCTACTTATGGAAAGAATTTCATAGAAATTTCTATTTTTAATTACAACGCCAACACCATTTGTCGAAATTGAAAACCTATATACGGAATTATGTATCTTAGTGTAGTCTACTTGTGTGCCAAGTTATAATGAAATCAGACCAAAACTGTATTTGAAGTAGCATTTTGAGAGAATTTCACAGAAATTTCTATTTTTAGTAACAACGCCAACACCTTTCGTCAAAATCAAAAACAGATATACAGAAGTATGTATCTTAGTGTTGTCTACTTGTGTGCCAAGTTTTAATGAAATCAGACCAAAACTGTATTTGAAGTAGCATTTTGAGAGAATTTCACCAGAATTTCTATTTTTAGTAACAATGCCAACACCGTTTATCGAAATCATAAACCAATACACAGAATTATGTACCTTAATGTAGTCTACTTGTGTGCCAAGTTATATTGAAATCAGATCAAAATTGTAGGTGGAGTAGCATTTTGAAAGAATTTCACAGAAATTTTTATTTTTAGTAACAACGCCAACACTGTTCATCCTAATCAAAAACCGATAAATAGTTTTATGTATCTTAGTGTAATCAACTTATATGCCAAGTTATATTGAAATCAGACAAAACTGTATTTGAAGTAGCATTTTGAAAGAATTTCACAGAAATTTCTATTTTTAGTAACAACGCCAACACCATTCATCGAAATCAATAACCGATTCACAGAATTATGTATCTTAGTGTAGTATACTTATATGCCAAGTTATATTGAAATCAGATCAAAACTGTAGGAGGAGTAGCATTTTGAAAAATTGTTCACAGACAGACGGACAGACGGATGGACGCCAGACGCATTACTATCGCATAAGCTCTTCTGGTCTCTGACCAGTAGAGGTAAAAATGGCGCGATTGTACATGTACCCAAAACAGAACTTGACCAAGCTAATCATCTGATAAATCCGTAAACCAAATTTCATTTTAGTATGTGAAACCTCTGCAAAGAAATGAATGGAAACTGCAAACAATCAAAATTTTTCTAAGTTCATGGGGCATAACTCTGTCAAATGGTGCGATTGTACCCAAAACAGAACTTGACCAAGATATTTATGTGATATATCTGTATACCAAATTTCATTTCAGTATGTACAATGGTTATGAAGAAAATGAACGGAAACTGCAAAAAATTGGAATTTTTCAAAGTCCAAGGGGCATGACTCTGTCAAAAATTTTGCGATCATATCAATATAAAACTTGACCTAGACATACCTCTGATAAATCTGTATACTAAATTTCATCTCTGTATGTGCAATGGTTGCAAAGGAAATGAATGGAAACTGCAAACAATCAAAATTTTTGAAGTTCATGGGGCATAACTCTGTAAAAAATGGTGCGATTGTACCCAAAACAGAATTGAATCAAGATATTTATGTGATATATTTGTATACCAAATTTCATTTCAGTATGTACACCGGTTATGAAGAAAATGAACGGAAACTGCAAATAATTGGAATTTTTCGAAGTCCAAGGGGCATAACTCTGTCAAAAATGGTGCAATTGTACCCAAAACACAACTTGACCTAGATATTTATTTGATATATCTGTATACCTAATTTCATATCAGTATGAACAGTGGTTGTGAAGAAAATGAACGGAAACCGCAAATAACTGGAATTTTTCGAAGTCCAAGGGGCATTTCTCTGTCAAAAATGGTGCGATCATACCCATGACAGAAATTGACCTAGATATTCATGTGATATATCTGTATATATACAGACCGACAGACAGCAGCAAAGCAAAATGCCCTCCCTTCTTCAAAGGGGGGTATAAATATTCACTGAAATCTCCGTCCGAAATACAGCTCCCATGACGAAATTGTTTACCTCCTCGAATAAAAGACTTCCTATAGTATGTTTTTACCCTATGTGATTCTGAACCAAGTCTATTATGGCTATTGAACATTACATATATATGTAGGGTAAAAACAGACTATAGGAACTATTTTATTCAAGGAGGTAAACAATTTCATCATGGGAGCCATATTTAGAACAGAGATTTTAGTGAATGTTTTTATGTAATGTAAAATTACAGTATTATAAATTGCTGCTGGGTTGTCCTTCTTAATTGAAGTACCGGGTAATAAAGCAAATAACATTACAGACTGAAAATCATTGTCTATTTGCAATAACCTCTTTGCTTGGAAAAATTTCATTCTCACATTTATTTGTATTGTTAAGGATTATGCAGAGTAGAAACCACAGCAGTGCAAGTGAAAATCTAGTCTCACTTATAATACTAAAAATCTACCTCATGAAAAAAAAGTGTCACGAAAATATAGTGATCTACAGTACATGTATATGAATTCTGCGATTTCAGAAAACTACTGCTATCATGTAAGAAGCAATGAAAACATGAAAATTTCAACTCATGGTAGGGATTCCTCTTTAGAGTAAAAAGTGATTACCATATGGAGATGGATGCTGTTGATAATGCTGAGGCGTCTGTTGAAAACACTGCTGATGATATGGTTGAGAAGAATTTAACATATGACCAAATTGCTGAGAATGTTCTTGACCAAATCGTTGAGAAGGTTCTTGATCAAACTGTTGAGAAGGTTCTTGACGAAATTGTTGAGAGGGTTCTTGACCAAATTGTTGAGAGGGTTCTTGACCAAATCGTTGAGAGGGCTGTTGATCAAATTCTTTAGGATACTGTTTCAAAATTTCTGCAAGAAAATAAAATTCAAATTGGATGAAAATTTTCTCTTAATAATCAACAGTTCCACTGCTACCATTATACCTTAGCTAATAGGGGTCTGCACAAACTGTCCAGAGCAATTATTTGTTAAAACTGAAAGATTGATTGTAGTAACTAAAGTGTTGAGGTAGTTCTACAGTCTACACTTGGCACTTAATGGGCTCAATCTTAAAAATTCTGCTTTTATAAGATAGACACACATCCCAGCAAGGATTGACATAAGAAAAACTATATGTCATCATGTTTACTTTTCAGCTACTGCCTCTCATACTAGTATACCTTGAAATGCAAGATACTGAAACTTACCAATCCTAGATTTCGTGTTATATAAATGAATTAAAGTATAAATATTCAACCTTTATACACAAAATGGAGTAGAAAAATATGTTAATAAACCATATATAGTCATTATTTGGGTGAATTATTACAAATATTTGCACTTTGTTAGGCCAACATATCAAAATTTTACATTAGAAAAAATATGCTTGACAGATCAATCTCGGAAATAAGGCAGACTACGCCTTTTTATGAGTAGTGTTCAGTTTTCATGTGGTGAAAACAATAATGTTAACTTTATTTTAACTTATCAAAATATTAATAATCTGCTACTTATCCCAGTGCATATCCTCGTAGATTGTTAAAATAGCACTGAATGATGTACACTTTAAACTATTTTTGGATGATAATAAAATCTATTAACAGCAATCGATGGCTAAGATCAACTTAAAATAGAAAAATTGCTTTCAATTTTTCATGTGGTTAGGTATTTACAAATGCACTTCAAGATAGTTTATGTTCAAAGAAAAATTCACTGTTTACCTTGATTTTGATATTTAGAAGATGTACTACCAATAATTTGATGACTGGCCTGGCCAAACGAATGTAAAGAGCTTGTTCCTTGAGTATTACTTTCAATCCAAAGACCCAATAATTTCAGTTTTAATTTTTTTGTCCATTCCTCTCTATTTTTATCCAGAATAGGATCAGAAACAAGTTCTATGAGTAACATATCAAGCTGTTTTTCATATTCATGAATTTTTCCTAAAAGTTGAACTTTAAGTGGATTGCCTAATGTGCACCAATGTTTAAGAATCTCTTTTGGACCCTCTTCATTCCCTAGCTGTTCAGTTATTGTTTTTTTCTTTATCAATTCATCCTTTATGTCCTCACTTCCTGTTGAAGCATGGATACTTTTTTCATTCTCCTCTTCATCAGAGCTTTCATTTTCTTCATTTTCTCCAGTTGACACTGTCTGAATCTTGGAAAACTTAGCTATACTCTTTGATGTATTCTTTTCAGAATCCCACTCCCAGTTTTTATTTCCATTCATCCTTTCTTCATAACCTCTAGAGATTGTCTGTTGACTTCTAGTGGCAGGCATGTTTGTACTAGCAGTGACGGAGAAAATTTGTTTTTGAGGTGAATCAGTATGCATGTTTTCTTCATTTTGTGATTCATCCACTCTTACCTCTGTGATACTCTTCCAACCATCTGCATAGTTGGACTCATTCAAAGAGATGAGATTCTGCTCACCTTGGGAAGAAGCATCTGATATCGAAGCTTCCATATTTGTTGACTTACTGTTTGATGAATTAGCTACATCTGCATTCTCAGTATCTTTATTCCTCTCATCTTCATCAACATCTTCAGAACTTAATGATCCTTCAACACCACCACAGTCACCCTGTTTTTCTTTCATCCTTGAAGTTGGTTCATCATTCTGATTTTCAGTTGTGATTTTCTCTGCAAATTTGGTTTCATCTTCTTGTCCTGTTGTATCAAAGGAATTTCGCACTTGTAAATTATTTCCCTGATCTAGAATGTTAGGTGACTCTGAGTCACCTACATCAGCTGTACTTCCTTTATTTCCAATGCCTTCGTGACTTACTTTCTTGCATTCAAGTTCCTGTTCCTGAGTTTTAGTGGAAAATTTGTTTTCTGTTGTACATAGTGTTTCTGACTGAACTGGACCATTCTTGTCTTTTGGTTTTTCAAAAGTTTCCCAAGAAGTTTCTGATTCTGGAGAAGGTTTTCCCTGCAATGTTTCTCTATCACCAGCATTTTCTCTGTCCTCATTCAGTGTTTCTGGAAATCCTGCAGATTTTCCAACTTTAACAGAATTTTGTGATTTTTCTTTACTGCTAGAATTTTCTTTTTCTGCTAAATGCACAGAAGCAGGTGTTTTGTTTTCAGCTGTGGTATTTTCCCCCCTTTTGTCATTTTCCTCTTTGGTCTGTTCCGCAGAACTCATCAGATGATGAGATGACTTTAATTCCTTACTGCCTTGTCTTTGATCATCATTGTTAGTCTCCCCATACTTCTCTTCTTCATCTTGAAATCTTACTGTTACTAAATCTGCATTTTCAAGTCCTTTGTCATCTACTTTATCTTTGTTAGAATCTTCTGGAGCATCTTTTTCTGTTGAATCTTTGTCTTTTGCAGCAGTTTTATATCTACTAAAACCTGCAGCCATATCATTAGAATCATTCCTAATATCTAGTCCATGATCCCTGTCACCATGATCCGAAACTTGCTTCTTAACCTGATTCTCATCACCTTCTGTTTTTTCTGTGTCATTGGTAGATGTTAATTTTGGGTTTTCGTTTTCAACCTTTTCCTTTACCTCTGGAGAGGCAAAGGATTCTCCATTTACATTCAAATTATCTTGTAGATTTTCAGACTTTTCTTTGCAACTGGTTACTGAATCTGATGGTTTCAAGCTAGATGTTGCTTCTGTTCTTTCAGATTCCTTTTCAGTGGTTCTGTCTTCCCTGCCATCAGACTGTACAGCAATATCAGGTTTACTTCCATTGTTTTGATCAAGTGGTGTCTTTTTGCCATCATCCATATTATTCCTTCTTGTTTTCTCATCCAATTTTCCACTGAGTTCTCTAGCATAGTCTTGACTTGTAACAACATCTCCTGTATCTTTCGACTTCTCATTTTCTTTAATCAAACTGTCCCCTGCCATTGTGTCTTCAAGTGTTCTTTTATCATGTTTAATATTAGATTCTTTCTCAGCTGAAGAATTGCTGCTTATTTTGCCATTTTTCATCTGGTCTGAAGTACTCACTTTAGGATTAGCAGTATCTAATTTTTTATTGCCTTGACTGGGAACACTCTCCCCCTTTTTTTCAGACCATCTCTTTTCTTCGTCTTCAAAATTCCCAGTTCCTAGATCTTGTTCATGAAGCACTTTACTTTTTGAAGCTTCTTTATTATTGAGAGCATCTCCAGGTGGACTTTTCTTGTTTGCATCTTTACTTTCATCAACAAATGGGTGCTGTATTTCATCGTTTATACCAACTTTATCATTGCTATTGCCGGGATGAGTGACACTCTTTTTAACTTCAGTGTCACCTTCATTCCTCTTTTCTGCATTAAGGACAACATTCTCCTGATTTTCTAGAGAGGTAGAGGGTTTTCCCACTGAAATGGGATTATCTTGCAGATTTCCATTTTCTTTGCCTTTGGCTGCTGAGTCTGATGGCTCAATTGCTTTTTCTGCTTTTCCGGTTTCAACATCTGTGGTCCTGCCTTCCCTTATTTCTGACTGATCATCAGTTTTCATTTCAGGTTTATTCCCATTGTTATGATCAAGTGTCATTTCACCATCAATCACATCTATCTTTTTTTCTGTTTCATCAGTACAATTCTCTTTAGAATCTGAGTTAATGTTTTCAGCTTTTTGGTCTTTTGCATGGCCTTGTGTTGCAACACCATCTACTGCAATTTTATACTCTTTATCAAAACTGCTCCCTGCTGATGCACTTGCAACTACTCTCGTTTCAATCTCTTTTTTGCAAGCATCTTTGGTTGCATCCTTCTCCTCTGCTCTAAGTTCAGCTTTATCTTGGGATGGAACTCTATTTTCCTCATTACCATCTGTCTTGTCTGCTTGGATTTCATCTTCAAGGCCCTTATCACTTTGACAACCAATATTTTGCTTATCAACCTCACCTTTGCCAAGGACATCTTCTGTAGATGGAATAGTACGCTCACCAGTGTTGTCATGTTTAGTATCACTGCCAGTACCAGTATTGCATGCATTATCTACACTATCGACATCACCATCCTCTGCAAAATTGCAGAATAAACAAAATAAGCACAAGGTTTTGTTCAACTTTTATTTACAGCACAAGTAAAGCCTTGGATATACATAAGCTTTGAGTACATACAGAGTAGTAAAATGAGATGAAAAGATTTTTAAAATAGTATACAAGATTCCCATGAGTAACAATGCTAACAAGACCAACTTAAAAAAAAAAGGCATGCAATTTATATTGTGACCATGAATTTTAAAGTTCAATTTTACAATGTGTATAGCCATGTTCCTTTTGTGAAATTCTAATATTTCTATGAAAGAATTTATTTTGCTATGTGATACCACTATAGCCAAAGTGCCCATAATGAACCTTGAATCTATATTACATGGAAAATCTTATTTAACTTGATCCTTTTAACCTTGCTTTTTGAAGAAGGTTTAATTTCTATTTCAGGTTTCCAAATATACTTTGCCTCCTACTGTGGCAAAATCTTAGCAGTAAGAACCATATGATTTAAACAAATCTGAAACTACAGTACATTGCAAAGCTCATTCAAATGGATCATGGCAGATTATTTTGCTTAAAAATTAACACTTGAAAAACAATACTGATTCTGACTGAAGCAACCATGACAATATAGCAAATTGATAAACTGACAAAATTTGACTTCTTAATTGGGATACTTTATGGTAAGAAAATAAAACATTCCCTTTACCCCCAAAATCAATAACAGATTATCGTGAAGGTCATGCATAGAAGCATTCATACATGCACATTTGGAAATGTCTCATAACAGGTCATGCAAATGTCAAATAAAAAATGTCCTATCTTCCCTCATTCAAAAACTGTCCTATCTTCTCTCATTGAAAAGTCATTATCTTATCAACTGTTTTTTCTGTTTAAATTAGGTCAATCTTCACAGTCAAGGTTGCTGAGTCACAAATTAGTGCATATTTGAAAGGTCTTGTCAGAGGTAATGTACATGATAAACATGAGAGCCTCATTTCTTCTCAATCAAAAGTTTAATGACCAAAAAAGTAAAAAAAAAAAAAAATTTAAGTGTGCCAAAATTGAAAATCAAGGTTACAAGTCAAAAGTCAAAGTAATGATAGTATATTTGAAACATTTTTGTCACCGGTAATGTAACAATGAAATATGTAAGCCCTATATATTCTCAACCAAAAGTTGTGATCAAGGTTTATTTTTTTATTACAGACTACAGACAGAAAACGACATTGAATGTCCCTTTACTTTTGCAAAAGGAGGGGATAGTTATATGTCACATGATACACATTTTAACAAATATTCCAATTGTTCTATTTCAAAAAGTGATCACCACAAACTTTATAGACTGTACATGTATACATCCATTCCACACACTTGACAGGTCTCTAATAAGTTTTTTAAAAAATCAAAACAAACAATATTTTCAACGAAAAAAAAAAGTATAATATGTGGCAGTCAGTCAAATTTGGTTACCTGAGAAAGCTTAGTTGGTAAAGCACCTTACAAGCATACTTGCCAACCTCCAGCATGTAAAAATCTGGTCATGACCAGATTTGGAAAGTAAAATATCTGGTCATAGCGCGTAACGGCATTCACGACATACTTAACAAGACTAATATATATATACCGTAGATCACCTAATTTTCGCGACACCTTATTTTCACAAGATAGTCATTGGCTTCTTATTAGCGAGACAAAATTTTCACGAATCGTGGTCATTAAGAAATTCCATGATATGCGAGAATGAAATTTTGGCTGGCATACTGTCTTGCGTAATTATGCGAAAATAAAGTTCTCGCGAATAAAAAGTGATTTACAGTATACTGATATATATGTATAACATGTATAAGTACAGCAAAACTCGTTTAGTACGAACACGGTTATAGCGAATTCACGGTTATAAAGAAATAATTTTGGATCCCCTGCTACATAAATTTATCAAATTCCTTATATGGATATAGCGAATTACGGATATAGCGAAGTAATTTCATAGGTCCCCTTGACTTCGTTATAACCGAGTTTTACTGTATTTGTGTATTGAGAATTCTTTAATAAAAAAGGCTTTAACTTACAATGACAAAAAATTCATAAATATTTTGATTATGAAATTACATGTTAAAAAGAGCATTGAGGGTTTCATATTTCAGTATTGACCTTAATTAGTTGGCTTTTTTTTTTTTTAAAAAAAAAGGTCTTTTCAGTTTCTGTTGAAATTTGAATTTAAACTATTCAAATTTTGGCTTTGAAGTAAATTTTTTCCTCTCTCTTAATTATCTAATGGAATATGCATTAAATATGCAGTTAGGGCTACACTGTCTTCGATAACTTTATTTTATCTAATAAAAGTTGTTTTCCAAGATTCCTTGAAATGTACATAAACTGATAAAGATCGACCGTTTCTCTTTTCCTTGGTTTATTCTGAGACATGTCTCTGATTCAGTTTGTTACTGCTGGCCCTGATAATGATCTAGTTCTATCGGAAGCCATTTTAAATTGACTTCAACATTGATTTGTCAAAACAACACCCAGTTAATTGTTTACACCTGCACTGATAATTAATCCATCGGCATTGTTTACATATAAGATCTAAGCTTGGGTTGTAACTGGAAGTAAAAAGTGCAACCTAATTTACGAACCAAATCCGGAAATCTGGAGATTTTCGGGTTGTTCGTCAAATTTCGGGTGAAAAGCATGACCCACCGGGTCATAAAAAATATTCGGGTTATGGGTTGAAAAATCGGGTGTGACTCGACGAAATCAGGTGAGTTGGCAACTATGCTTACAAGTGTTTCAGAGTTCATATGGGCATATCAATATGGTGAAGATAAAAATTTTTAAAAATACTTTTAAATATTAATTTACAGTATCAAATGTTATATTCACCAAAACTCCAGTGTTAAAACATGTTGACTTTGAACTTTTGCCAACTATTTATGCACAAGGTAAAAAGAAATTATGTTTATACAGAGAGCTTTAAAATTTAAACAAGCAATTCAATTTGCATACCTTGGTACGATTGATTATTTAAGCCTAACAAATTTGGACTATAAAAAAATGGTTTCTACTTGAATCTGCACATATATATTCATACAGAGAAAGAAGTGCAATACTATCAAATAAAGTATCAATAAGATAAAAACACTGATGCCCCCCTATGGCAGCTTATGACAAAGGTTTAAGTTTCTTAAATGCAAGTCAAAATTCAAGGTTAAGTTCAAAAGGTCAAAATTGTTGGCATCCACAGAAAGGTCTGATCACAAGAAATATACCTGACATGTGAAATATGCCCTAGTACTAATTGTTCAAAAATTATGGCCAAGGTTAAAGCTTTTAAAAAGTGGTTCAAACTCTAACGTCAAGGTCAAAAGTATTATATCCATTGAAATGTCTTGTCACAATGAATAACCATGTAAAGTATGAAAGCCCTAGCACTAACTGTTCAAAAGTTATAGCCAACGTTAAAGTTTGAAATTTTTTTTGTAAAAGTGGATCAAACTCCAAGGTCAAGAGATCAAATTTGGTTGTATCCACAGACAGGTCTTGACACAAGGAAAACACCTGTATAATATGAAAGCCATAGCCTCACCCATTCAAAAGTTATGGGTAAAGTTAAGTTTTTACGGACAAACAAACAAACAGACAGACTGACAGGGCAAAAACTAACCAGAAGTCTCTGTCGAGACTGAAGCTCTACTGGTTTGTACTTATAGCAAAGGAAGAGAAAACTACTTAAGCAGTTAGAAATTGAAACTTTTCAACAGCAATAAATAGAATAATGATCCTTGATTAAGTCTCTTTATGTTCTTAGTGTAGTCTACTTGCATGCCACATTATATTATAACCAGACTAAAACTGTTATTTGGAGTAGCATTTTGAGAGTATTTAACAGAAATTTCTATTTTTAGTAACCACGGCAACACCGTTCATCGAAATCAAAAACCGATACACAGAATTATGTATCTTAGTGTAGTCTACTTGTGTGCCAAGTTATATTGAAATCAGACCAAAACTGTAGGAGGAGTAGCACTTTGAAAGAATTTCACAGAAATTTCTATTTTTAGTAACCACGGCAACACCGTTCATCAAAATCAAAAACAGATATACAGAATTATGTATCTTAGTGTAGTCTACTTGTGTGCCAAGTTATACTGAAATCAGACCAAAACTGTAGAAGGAGTAGCATTTTAAAGGAATTTCACAGAAAATTCTTTTTTTAGTAACCACGGCAACACCGTTCATCGAAATCAAAAACTGATACACAGAATTATGTATCTTAGTATAGTCTACTTGTGTGCCAAGTTATATTGAAATCAGACCAAAACTGTAGGAGGAGTAGCATTTTGAAAGAATTTCACAGAAATTTCTATTTTTAGTAACCACGGCAACACCGTTCATCGAAATCAAAAACTGATACACAGAATTATGTATCTTAGTGTAGTCTACTTGTGTGCCAAGATATACTGAAATCAGACCAAAACTGTAGGAGGAGTAGCATTTTGAAAGAATTTCACAGAAATTTCTATTTTTAGTAACCACGGCAACACCGTTCATCGAAATCAAAAACCGATACACAGAATTATGTATCTTAGTGTAGTCTACTTGTGTGCCAAGTTATATTGAAATCAGACCAAAACTGTAGGAGGAGTAGCATTTTGAAAAATTGTTTACAGACAGACAGACAGACAGACAGACAGACGGACGGACGCATTACTATCGCATAAGCTCTTCTGGTCTCTGACCAGTAGAGCTAAAAACCCCCTAATCTTCAATTATGGGTACATAAAAAATGTTTTCTAAATTTAAACAAACTACTACAGTATAGTACATATCATTAATGTGAGTATTTAACATGTTAAAGAAGACAAAATATTTAACTATAAAAATAAAATTTAAGTCACAAAGGTTTAGCAAAATCTTGGTTCAATAGCAAATCCCTTTAAATAGTCTTATAAAAATACAACACAGTGTGTTGAACACATTTATAAGTTAAATGACTTACAGAAAAGTATATATGGTTATTTGTGAGCTCACATTTTCACTAGTATTGTATTCCTAAGCTACTAATTGTTGGAACTTCTTTTTCAAGCATTATACATTAAATGAAGTTTAATCCTTGTATCTGATAATATAATTAAATTTAGATGAAACTTCTTATAGATCTGCACCCATAATGTATAATGCAGCAGCATGTGTCTGAGCCTATCTTATTTAAACATCTAATTTTAATTAAACTGTGTAGATGAACACATAGAATGGTACTGCTCATCTAATTTAACAAGCACAGAGGGAAAAAATTCTTTCTGATTAGACTGGTCTTTAGATTGTATGTAGTACAAAACAAACTGTTAAGCAGGAGTGAAGATAGATGTCAGTATTCACAGTGAAGATAGATGTCAGTATTTAAAGTGAAACAGATAACACAGGTGACAGATTAGACAGTTTTTACTGTAGTTACCTGCATTGGTCGCTCCTTGGCCTTCAGTGGGGCCAGTGGGGCCAGGTGGCCCAGGTTGATTTGATGCCATTTTTGTTATGATTTTCTCTCAGTTGCAGCTTACAACTGAAATATCAAAGATAGCTATATTCAATTTTACTTCACAAGCATCTTTAAACACTGACAAATTAAGGCTATAAAACTTTTCATAGTGTTTGCTCAACAAACCATTTTAACTTTTTTATTAAGATTCTGTATATATACATGATGTACTGTGGTTTCATCAATATTCGTTGAGCACCAATTTTCGTGGATTTCGTTGTTGAGCCGATCCACGAATTTAAATGTTCATTGAATTACGAAATATGACATACATTTGTATAGGCAATGCTTTTGTCCACAAAATTACGTATCCTCGAAAATGTCTGTTTTACAAAATCCACGAAAATTGATGAAACCACAGTATACAGTTTTACTTTGATACTTTTACCAGTATTGTCCAATTTAATTAAAGTGATGTATTGTCATATCATCGTTTCATACACCCTAATTGACTGAAGAATTAATTTAAATCATTTTGTACAGAGAAACATTTAAGGGGGGGGGGGGGGGGGCAGTAGCATAAGAACAGTGTCCTTTTTAACAGATCAACCAACGGTCACGAGATTAAGAGCTAGTCGGGTCACTCAGACCACCTGCAAACAAAGCAAACCAATCTGACTGCCACATTCCTCCCTCCTTAAAAGTCTTTGGCCCCTGAAGACAAAGACACCAACCCTGGCTCTTCCCTGGTAGGTCTTTCACTCTTTTACCTGTCACTTCCAGGGCATGGCACTAAATGTAACGGGGGAGGAGGAAAATGTGACAAGCCAGACCTTTTTTTTAACCTTGGTCGCCTGTTTCTCGTAAGGTGACTGAGCTACCCAGGCTAATATCCAAGGAGTAAACCATTACATGTACCAGAGAGTATTTTATACAACATTTTGTGAGGAAAGGAAAATCACTTTATTCAATAAATAACTGTATTACACTGTAGAAAATGTAATTAAAAAGTCTTTTATCCTGCAACTACCCCTTGATTGACCTACATGTAATAATGGTAACCTAATAAACTAAAGCTTTATTTGGCCAATGTCCCAATAAAGTCTTGTGTATGTATTCTGATGTTCTAAAAGCATTGTGATGTCACATACATTGCAATGTTTACACAATGGCATCTTAGTTCCTCTGCAGAGATGTGTCAAAAATGGGTTGCATATAGTTCATTTTGTAGGTCAGATGTAATTATATTTTGCAGTCAGGGCCGGGGTGTGATGGAAATCCGTCATTTTTAAAATGACGATTTTTCGTCATAAAATAAAATTTTTATTATGACTAAAACTCGTTATAAAACAGTCATAAAAATTTAGAATGTTTCTAGAATACCAAGTTACCTCTCTTAGAAAAAATTTTAGATCCACCAACCGTAAAAAGGACAAAAAACATCGTAAACAAACTTGATTTCTCTAATACAGTTGACACAATACTGGTTATGTTGACAGTACAAATTTCCTAAACAAAAAAAGAGTAAAAGAGTTATTTGTCAATTTATTTGCATTAAATCATGTAAATAGCAAAGAAGACTAAAATGATTAAAAATAAAAATATTTCGTCTTTTTCAAAATAGAGGGTCTGGGCGCACTGAAATATTTTGCTTGTTTAACGGGGTGCACTACTTTTTTATTGCTTTAACTTTTTGTCAAGACTTTTCTCTACATGTACGTATTCTTCAAGAGGGTATACTAAATGTTTTTATAGGGCTAAAAGCAATGTAAAAATGGTGAATTAGATCTACCAAAATTCAACATTTTACCGCTAAACCATAACTTTCGCCTTCCATGTTGATGTTCTGACGCACGCAGTCTGTAGAAGTCAGTGGCCCAGATGAAAGGAAACTTGCGTAAACAATGCTGTTCAAGCCGGAGATTCAAAAATCGATAATAAACAACTGGTGATAGAGGCATATTGTCAGAAATAAAAATGACGAAAATTCGTTATATTTACAAAAATGACAGAATCACGTAATTTTAAAAGAGACGACAATCTGTCATTTTTAGAAATTACGGATTTCCCTCACACCCTTGACTGTTTTGGAGGATAAACAAAATACATGGTTATTTTCTTGAAATACAGGCAATATTTGGGTTGAAAACGTGATGGAGGGCTAGGCAACCCTCACCCTCTATCACGTTTTCTTACCCCCAACACAAATATCGCTTATATTTCTAGACAGTAACCATGCATGTATTTTAAATAATTCAGCTCTTCACTCTATCTGCTCTTTCAACATGATCAAATATGAATTCTTTTTTTTTTTTCAAATTCATAGCTGTCTCGTACATAGTATTGAAAATATTTTCCTCTGTTATAGCAACTACAGATATTTTTATTTATCAATACTTTACCAGTAACAAATATTTGCCAGTATCGAATATTTTTTATATGTAAATATTCTAGAAAAACATAGTTACGGGTTTTTAAAATCTTACTAGGTTAATACAGTAAGAGGATGAATATTCTACCACTGTGCTGTGTTTTTGTAATATCTGCATGATTATTTCCCACAAGTATTTACAATTTGAACCGATGACCCAGATTTTAACACGCTCAAGTGCAAGTCTAAGAAAACGAAAGTGTGTCGACAAATGCATCTAGTAAATAAAAATTTTGATATGTTGTCGACCCAGATTGAGTATGTAATCAATATTTAGGATAAATACAAAAAGAGAGAATATTAAATTCAACAAAAATTTACTTTTGAATGAAATTTAACATCTAAACTTACCACGTGTTGTTTTCTTAGTTACAAATTTTGGAAGAACGAAAAATGCCGTTTTACGGGATGCAAAAACAAAAAAAGCTGACAGGGGTGAAAATACTATGAAAACGATTTACCAGCCAAAATATTCCATGAAAATTATGATTCAGAGATGATTGAATTAATTATAATAACGCATGTCTCTAAAAGTTTCTCATAAAATGCAACGTTTTTCATATTGTTTAGTTTTACCGGTTTCATTTATTAAGTCAGCAACGAAAGAGGGCACCTGATTCTATACTGAAAAATCGATTCGAAAGTAGGAAAAAAGGGGGGTGTTATTTTTGACAGCTCTGTCCCTGTACCGATTATATTTTGGAAATTTTGTTCTTCTTGTTTGCATGTGTGTAGAGCTTAGAAATACAAATTAAACAACAACAAAGAAAATTTCGAAATTTATTCAAAGATATGGGTTGTATTTAATATGTAACTAGAAACCGATTTGTTACTGGTAAAATGACTGTACTGATATAAAAATGTGTTCTTGAAAATGATCTTTTTCATTTTCTAGATTAACTGTGTGAAGGCGCGGATCCTCCATCAAATCGAAAGTATGTTACATTTGGGTAAATTCTATCAATAATTATTCCCATATAAATATTTTGATTGAAAAAATATCTGGATAACTACTAAGCTTTTTGGTGTTAATTATCAGTGGGTAAAAAATGACAAAAATTGTTGTCCAACTACATGGCAATACTTGGATTTCCAATCGAAAACGAAAGTAGAATAATATTGCTCCTTCCTAGGCTAGCCACTTGTTACGAATACAAGTGTGCGAGAATATAACTGCCCCCATTGTTTGTCGTTACCTGATAGTTCAAATTCATATTTCTTTCACATCTGTCATTTCATCTAGCTACAAAAAGTTGAAAAACTTTAATAAAGTGTCCAGCGGAGACAGCCGTCCATCAGCAGAGCTGATAAGCAAGTCACATGTCATCTGTCAGCCAATTAAAGGCGATATTTAGAAACGAAAGTAATTTTCGCGGAAACTTTTCAACTTGATTGGCGGATCCAGAGGAGGGATTCGGGTATTGAACCTCCACATATTTTTCACCACGTGAAGAGAGATGAAAATATGTTTTCTAGAATATCCATATCTTTATAAGCCATGAGGATTTTAAATGAATAAATTCTTTGTGAGATAGAATTTATTTTCATATTGTTTATTAACTAAGATCTCACTTATTCATTTTATTCTCAAAGGCATAATAGCTAGCCTATATTCCCTTTTCTATATTTTTTTTTCCTCACTAAGTCTTTATACACTCAACCAACACTTCTTTCCTAACATAACTTTCTCGATTTATAATGTTCCCCGAAAGACTGGTTGCCCCCCCCCCCCCTTTAACCTATTTTTATCACACTGTCACTGTGTTCTACAACCACATTGGTGTCCAATTCTCTAAGTATATATACTATTTAGTTAATTTGATTTTGGTAGACACACGATAGCCCCGTTTCTGAGTAACTGATAGTTGACCCTTTTCAAAGGCAAAATTTAATGACTTTACCACAAAGTGACCCAAGACTTTCCTAACAAAATAAGTTCTGTGGTAATTCTATCACTAGTCACAGGACTATACTGGGTCATTCATTCTTTGCTCTAAAAGTTATCTCTCATTCTTTTTTCACATTTTCTTTCAAACACAGCATGTGAGCTTAATAATCTCTTTTCCATTCTCTTGTCCTGGATTCTGTACTGTATTTTTATATTTATACATATAATACTGTCTTATTAAAGTAGGTTCACCTTTTCCCTTCTCTTTCTTGGCTCTATCTACTAACTCTAGGTTGGATCCATCAACCCTTTTAGTAGATGCAGAATGGTTTTATAAAACCATAACGCTCCAGTTCTGCAGCTACCTTTTAGTACACATGCATGTAACTTCCTCTTCCTTGAGATCTGTATAACTTTTATAATACCCCCTGCTTGAAAAATTCTTACGAAAACCCATTTTCGTTGGTTAAAGATTAAATAAATTTTTCGCGATATAGCGCGAAACTTAAGAGAATCTCTAAAACTTTCGCTTTATTACGCGAAATTTTCGCGATATAACGCGAAAGTTACGCGTTCATTCGCGAACGTTATGTACGCGTTTATTCGCAAAAGTTACTCGTTATACAACGAAAAATGTATTTTTTAACTACGGAAAATGAGCCCAATTGGCTTTCGTAAATTCAGGAAGGGTCATGAAACAATTTTTTTTTTAATTTTTACGAAGTACAGAAAGATTCCACAATCTGTCCAACATTTTCACTTTCTGTTTTTTGTTTTGTTTTAATGTCTGTCAGCAAACTACTAAGGTCCGGATTATCAAGCAAGTCTTGTGTGAATAGAAATTCCAGTGTGATAGGTGTGTCTTCCGTCTCTTCTCCTGAACCTGACATCAAGTGCATGATCAACTTTCCATCAGTCTCCTCTTCTATTTTCTTTGCTCTTCGCTTCCAATCTTCGATGTCACCGGATAGTTTAGTTACTTTTGTCAAAAACATGAATTCTTTCCTTTTGAAATTATGACTGATGAAAGATTTCAACCATCTTTTTTACACTTTCATCTGAAGAATCAAAAAAGTTAACCAAACTTCTATTATTTATAATGATCCTGGTCCCATTTGGACTTCTTCCGGATTTCATCGTCGATGAATTTCTGCACTGCTTCATGACATAGAAAATCCTTAATTAACAGTTTTTTCGAACACAGATTTATAAGTACAAATTGTCTTTATGGGTACCATTGGTTTTTTGAACTTTTTTCGTATGAAATGTTTCTTTTTCGACATCCTTTTTATTGACAATGAGCATTTATGAGAAACCATGGTGATCTGTGTTTATGTTTTGACATTTGGAAATTAAGTCCTCCTTTGTTACTAGTATGTGTTCTCCATTAAAACATTTCCATATACGACTCTTATTAAAAGAAAGGTCCACAAATCCAATATCTATCTCCCGATTAGATTCTGTGTCACAAAATGTTGAGTATATGCATGTGTTTAATTTCTGAATTTTTGAAATTATTGCTTTGCCATCTCTACAAGACAGACTTGGTGACCATTTTGTGGTTTGGACATTGCCATGGTTTTCGAAATTATCAACATCTCGTTGGACAGAAAATCTTGTTATGCGTTCGAGTGTGTGATTATTAGATTGATTAATATTGTTTAACGTCTCTCTAGAGAATTTTTTACTTAATGGAGACGGAGACGCCACCGATCGAGAGGTGCAAATTTTTCCCTGTATATTCGGCACTTAAGGCCATTGAGCAGGGAGGGGTCTTTTTCGTGCCAGCACCTTCTGCGACACGGGGACCCCGGTTTATACGGTCTCCACTAGTTAGAATAATCTAACTTTTTCTCGGGACAAGCCTTTACCAGGGTCCGTAGGACATTTGTCATTTTAACGATAGAACGTACATTCTATCTACACAGGTCTCCACTTCCCACAGTGGGATTCGAACCCGCAACGTAACGATTCTAAGAATCAAAAGAGCAACGGAATTTGAAGCGAGGGGGGTCTAAAGCCCAAGTCACACTGTCACGATTTTAGATCACGGTAAGCTACGATTTAGGGATCCGTGAAAATTCTTAGACATCCGCAGTCAGTCCGTTATTATTACCGTGGTGAGTCCTGTTAACTCGGATTACTCCTGAACGATCCGTAAACTGCTACGACTGTTTTGAACTGTTCAAAACAGTCGTGGAAAACCGCGATGCAACTTCACTTCTTGTATATCGTAGTTACCCCGTATTATATGCCTACCATCACCGTGTGACCACCGTATAGACTTTCGTGATGTATCGGAGTTATCCGTGACACGTAAGACTACGCCTACTCAAGGATTTCGACGACTGCAGCAGGGAAAATATACGAATATACAAGATAATCCGTAACTAACCGTAAACCCCGCACATTTTGTCTTGGTTGTAGTAAGAAAGCGACAAGAAAACAATACAGAAACTCACGAATAAAGGTGGCGAATCGTTTTTTCTTACATTGTAATTAAGGCAGCAGTAAGGGTTTTGACGTCTTATCACGTATTTTTTCGGGAATTTTCCGGTTGAATACGATAGCTTACAATCTTTCAGTTATTTATTTCACATTTTTGCTTGTCATTGTTATCTGTTGTCCATGGCTGTACACATGACCAAGAGCACAGGATTCGGCGTTTAAATCTGCACCTAGCTGTAGTTGAACTATACATTGTTGTGACACATATTTTCTATACGAGGGAAGACGGAAGGAGGAAAAGAAAGTAGAAAACAGATTGGGTATGATGAGTTAAAACTGTTAAAACCTTACTGATGGCTGTCAATCCATATGCATTGTATCGTTGCGCTTTAATTGATGACAAACTTGAGGCAGTTACTATGAAAGGATTCCCAGCAACACATTCAATCCCAGCTTATGAAAATAAAAAGGTCTCACTTTGTATCTTCAGATGACCTTATTGCCTTTTTCGTTATTTTCCGATCAAATCAAGGAGCACACGGCGGGTGTGACCGGTCCCTGGGGGCTGCTCACTCCACCTTGGCACCTGATCCCACCTCTGATATTTTAGAGGTCTGTGTTTGCTTTTCTCTCGGTTATTATGTTTGAATGGAATTTTGAGATTTAAAATTGCACATTATCTCCATATCTTTCATCCGTAACATCATTTCTAGATTCTTGAGAGATTACCAAATTTTGGATTAGGCAAATGATACTTAGTGGTAGTAACCGCCTTCCGCTGGACCTCCAGTTAAATCTAAACCGAGTACGTATCAGGATCCTAGCTACTACACTCAATTACAGGAAGAGTGTCTTGGCAACACAATTAATTCTGAATAAATCACAAAAAATATTGAATGAAAACACATTGTAAATGATTTTTATTGTAAAAGTGAATACCGTATACTAAAATGTTAATTATAGAATATAAATATAGAAATATTAAATAAATTTCCATAGCTTTTAACACATCTGCACTACAATGTATTTTTTATGTCAATCAAAGATTAATAAGTGCAATTTTGTTTTACATTTCTTTTAAATTAAAGATAAGGTTTAAAAAAAACAATCTTTTTAAAATTCGTTTTTCTTTTTAATTTTTTTTAAAGTCTAGGAAAACGAACTATTAAAATGCTCTAAAAGAAATATTGCACAGCAATGCATCTCATTGTGATTGCTTCACGTACCGTCTACTTAAATCGTACATGATCTGTTTTTATAAAATTCAACATTACAAGAAATACGACTTTTCCTGTTTGATAGATGAGTCAACAGTTTGAATCTCAATCAAACAAAGCGCCCAATTACCCCGTATGACAACCAAAGGCGCTGTTCTGTACTTCTTTGCCATTTAGCAGTACCTGTTTAGTGAGATAAACTCACATTACATTGTAGGCCCAATCTTAACATGCGACATTGCTAAAGAGTGAGTTACTCTTATATAGTATACAAGCCTGTTATCCCTTTATTTTGCCTGAACATTTGCATAATCGTTTTGTCTACGTTGTTCAAAGGGGCATAATTTGATTATCAAACTTTGTAAGAAACTTGCATTATGCAAATTTTGCAACATACATTCGGCCACAAGAGAAAATTGTATATAAAGGGTAACTTTGGAGGGTGGATGGTGGGGAATGTTTCTAAAGCATTGACTAGTAAAATATTTGTGCTTGTTGAAATACAAGTATACCTGCACCATAATGCACTCTGCTGCAATGCAGTGCAACACATTGTGGTGCCTGGCAAGTTATCCAATCAAAATCAACTTAGTCAATTTGTTGTAATAAAATGAATTGAAAGTATGATTATAAACTCTTTATTTAGTGTATTGAAAGGAAATTAAGAAAAGTGTAATGAAATATTTCATTCAAATTTAACTAATATATGACTATTTCTCTTTCCTGCAAATCAAGGAATTATGTCGAAGGACTCTTTCGACAAAGTTATATGCATTGATAATTTTATTATCAAATGACTAGTTTGGATATGCGCAAAAAAAATTCCTTTTATTTTCTTATTCAATTAATGCTTTAAATATCTTTTATTTAAAAAAACAAACTAGATGAAATAGTTTAATATTAACATTTAATTGATATGTGACTGTTATCTTTCATACAAATCTCAATAAATACTCCAGCACTTACGTGTATGTCGAAGGACTCTTTTGATAAAGTTACATATTGATAATTTTTTATCGAACGACTAGTTTGAGTATGCGCAAAAAATCCTTAAATTTTCTTCTCAATTAATGCTTTGAATATCTTTAAAAAAAAATGGATGAAATATTTTATTTACATTTAATTAACATTTGACTGTTCTTTTCAATACAAATCTCAACAATCCAGCACTTATGTGTATGTTGGAGGACTCTTTCGATAAAGCTACTTAGTGATAATTTTTTATCGAGCGACTAGTTTGGGTAAGCGAAAAATATTTGAAAGAAATGAACTCCTATGTGACTATTGAGTCATTTGATTTTTATTTGCACGCCTATTAATGCTTCTTATCTCAAAATTAAGAATTTTCCTACACTTGTTTTACATTTTTTTTAATTAAAGAGAAGGTTGAAAAAAGAACCTTTTTGAATTCGTTTTTCTTTTTAATTTTTTTTAAAGTCTAGGAAAACGAACTATTGAAATGCTCTAACAAAAAATATTGTACAGCAATGCATCTCATTGTGATTGCTTAACGTATTTCTCATACATAACAGTTACCTGAAAATAAGTCAACTTTTATAAGGATTTAAAAAATAAGAACGAGCCAGGTGTATCTTAAAATAAGAAAATGAAATACATCGTCGCAAGCCACGGGTTTTGTGTCCATTCCATTTCCACAAACTTGTGGAAATAGAATGGATCCAAATTGTGGCTTGCGACGATGAATGAAATAGTGACTTTTGATTTCTCAATGATTCCTCTTTTTATGGGTATTTCTGAAAAAAAATTATTGCTGACGTCCATGTACAGAGAACCTTGATAACGATTACATTTTTCCCAATGTCTTTTACTTGCTTAGACGTAACACGTCTTAAAAATCGTGGCATTCTCGTACAAGAGCCGTGGTGTGTTGTAGCATTAACTTGATTGGCCGTAACCGTGGCTTAGCAGGCGCGGATCCTTGAATTGAAGTTTGAGGGGCTGCCAAAAGTAGGCAAGGGGTCTGGGGCCGCCTTGAGGCCCCCAATAGGTGCAGGGCAAAGCCCTGGTGGGGGCCCAGGGGGCGAAGCCCCCGGAAGCTCCTGGATTCTAGAGATTTTGTAGGGTAAAAATGAGGTCTACAAAGTAGACATATTTACATTTTCTAGACGAAACTGTGATTTACGTTAACTTTGACAATTAATTTTAGGGGGGGGGGGCGCGCCGGGTGCGCCCCCCCCCCTAAATCCGCCACTGCTTAGCAATCACTAGTGAGACAGTCGCATTATAAGGTATCACTACGGGATACCGTGGTTGCCCGTAACAGTGTCCTTGGCGTGAATGGCATGGTCCTTAATGAAACCGTGTCCAAACCTTGTTGAACCCTTCAATAATCTTGAAACAACCGCCAAAAAAAACGTATTAGCATTACAATTTCTTACGGTTTATAAAATCGGGGTGATCCGTTGCAATCCGTGTCTATTACCTTGACAGTGTGATGGCATCCTCCATTGTGCTGTTACACGCACAGAGCAAATTAAGCCCATGTGGCTGTTACATCACAATGATCACTGTCTAACCTAAAAGAAAGTAGAATAATAAGATTCGATTTGGTTCTTCCTAGCAACGAGTTACTAACACAATGTGCGAGAATAAAACAACTTCCCAACTTTACCTGATTATTCAATTCACATCTCTTCTGAAGCTGTCATTTCATACATAACTAATATTTCAAACCGTCATCGGAGATGTATGAACAGCTAATTAACCTTTCCATATGGCAACCATAACAAAAGATACCTTTATTGTCCTCTAATAAACCCTTTAAACACACAATAAAAACTGGTTACATTACCTGATTATTGTCCCCCGCTTGAAAAGTGGGGGATATTAATTTGGGTTTGTCCGTCCGTCTTTCTGTCTGTCTGTAACGCTTTCGTTTCCACACGATATCTCAAGAACCCTTTTAGCTTTTGCAATGAAATTTAGCATATCAACTCCCTATGGACTAAAGAAGAACCCTATTGATTTTGAGGTTAAAAGGCCAAAGGTCAAGGTCATGAATGAGCAAATTCTGTCTGTTATACATGTAACACTTTCGTTTCCACACGATATCTCTAGAACCATTTGAGCTATTGCAATGAAATTTTACATAACAACTTCTTGTGGCCTAATGAAGACCCCTATTGATTTTGAGGTCAAAAGGTCAAAGTTCAAGGTCGTAAATTTATACATTCTGTCTGTGTGTAACACAATCATTTCCGGGCGATATTTCAAGAAGATTTTGAGCTTATGCAATGTAATTTTATACCAAAACTCCCTAGGCCTAAGACCTCACTCACCCCTCTCAAAGTGCCCCGCCCCGTTTGTTTTATTAGTAATTACAGTATTACATGTCGCTTTTTTTAGCACAGGGGCATGAGGAGAGTTATTGTGTATAAAAACTGTTTAATAAGGGCTAAATAAATCAAATACTATGGACTGTGTAAAATTTTGACGATACCGAACATGAATACATGTATGTGACTTCATTTCTGCATATTTAGTTGACGTCATGTAAAGTGATTCCGTGGTCTAGTGGTATGTCTCACGCTTCACATGCGAAAGGTGTCTGGATCGAAACTCGGACGATTCTTCCCTTTTTTTTTTAAATTCTTTTTTTTCTTTTTTTTAACTAAATGACAGTATTCAGCATGTGAAATGAAAAATTTATTAGGTTATAAAATCATCATGACAGTGGGATAAATATTCCATATAAAAAGAATCTTCTATACACATAATAAAGAATAAGCAATCAAATCTTTATATGCATATTGACATACATGCATTTTATTTGCTTCAGTATACATGTATACATTTAATAATTCTACAAATTCAGTCAGGGGGATCCGACTTTTTCCCTAAGCGGGGGACACGAATTGTTTAGAAAAAAAAAATATTATTTAGATCGGGATCGACATACAGGTTTTCAAGTACGAAAACGAAAGTACAAAATCCCCTTGTTGCAATAAACATTGGATGTTTCTGAGGTCAAGACGATTATAATGTAACAACATGACAGAGATCTTGAATTTGGGTCTATTCTACCTCGATAAAGCCGTAACACAACTAGGTTATCCCAGAAAAGAGGTGGAGAAGGCTGCAGGCGAGGTGAGGCAGGAGGTCACATCAAAAGCAAAAGAAGTAATGGCCCTGCACGGATCAAGGTTTTTCTTGAGAATCGGCGGCCTGTCCGGTGCAGTCGCAGTATCAATGGCTGCGTATGGAGCTCATGGTATTATTTTACTATCCATTTCATTAGAAAAATGTATTGTTTGTTTGTCGACAGTGTCGTACATTATTTACCATGCATACTTTAATTGTGTGCATATTCAAATTAGGCATCTGATTTCATCATAGAATCGAATATTTTGATATAGTCTATGGCTAATTTAATAGATGGAATGAAATGACAACAGTTTTCAAGACAACTCTACCTCCTAACATACTTAAATCCTACACAAAAATCTGAAAATACTTTTTATCTCGCTTTAAACTGTACCTGTTTAAAGCAAAAATTGTCTTCAGAATTTATTTCAGAATCCATATTTTCATAAAACTTGTCCAAATTTTATTATGCAAAATTTTTTATATTAATTAACATAAAATAAGGACTTTTTTTTAAACCAATAATTCAGTATAACTATGGATAAATATGATGTACACACATGGATCTCACATGGATCCAGGATTATTTTCCAGTATATTGCAGTAGTCTACATCATCTCTAACAAATATCAGACTCGTGACTTTCTGGCCATACAAAAATTATGTAAACATAAGAATTTTTAAGTCATTTTTTTTTAGATACCGGTACATGTCTCTTTGCCATTTTAAGAGGAGTTAATATTTCCCAGAGGGGATTGAGGTAGACCCCTTTTGCCCCTAGCTTCAGCACCCTTGAAATCTGTGAAAACATCTGCCCCTATTGCAGCATTAGCTGTACCTACATATATTTCAAGACTGGTCCAAGAGACTTAACATTTTGTTGCTGGAACAGAAATAAGAAAGGAAATTTTTTAATTTATTATTAAAGTAACAGTGCAAAAAAAGAACTCTACTTGTATATATTTGTCTTTGAATTGATGATTTATATACTTTTATATTTTAATTGAAAGCTTTTAAAGTTGAAGATGAAAAGGGAGAGCAGCTGAAAAAGGTAAGTATTAATAGATAAAAGAAAATGCTAAATGATTTCTTGGCGCTTTTTAAACGTGATAACTTTCTGTGGTTGATAATACATTGACTGTTCACTCTTGTATTATTGAGGCTTGTATATCTACATCAATGTTAGTTTACAAAATAGTAAATGTATATGAAAACATGCTTTCAATGAAATTAACCTCTATTACACATTTTCTTGGCAGGATTTGATTTAAAATATATTGTGAAAAAAAACACTGAGCTACTTTTGTGATTCATCATATTACATTTCTTTGCTTTAGATTTTTGATACTGGGAGCAAGATGCATTTGGTGCATTCTGCAGCACTAGTGTGCTCTCCTCTGTGCAACAGACCATACCTGGTAAGTACTGGTTACTTACTGGGTTCTAGCAGCAGTTGTACACATTTTGTGCACCGGACAGATCCACAAAAACAACAACAGCAAAATATCCTTCAAATATCATTGCAGCTGTATATTTTCTTCAATGCATTATCTAATCACATTGTTTTAATGTTATCACCAGTTCCTAACTGCTTACTGTATATCATAAAAATCATGATTCTGGAAAAAAAAATAATGTATGATAATTTAAAGATTCAGTTCTAATGCACTGTGAACAAGTTAAACATATCATTGATGTTTAAAATATATTAATTACCACAGCTGCAGTATTCTTCAAAATCTAAAGGAAATGTGCAATTTTATTGAACTTTAAAATGATCTTAAACAATAATCTAGATAATTAACCATTCTTTACAGCAACTTACTGTCCAGATAACAATTACTGAATTCCTGTTTTCCTGCAGGAATGTGCATGATAAATTTAAACATTACATTTGTTAATTCCATTTCCTTCTGTTGTAGACTGGCAGTTTGTTGACCCTCGGTATTGTCCTGTTTTCTGGCAGTTGTTACGTCCATGCTTTAACCGGAAACACAAAAATCCGATACGTCACCCCCTATGGAGGATTTG